TATCAATTTTATTGATTATTTTTGAAGAACCAGTTCCTGGTTTCGTCAATCTATTCTATTGTTTTTTTAGTTTCTATGTCATTTTTTCTCTGCTTTAATCTTTATTATACCTTTCTTTCTGCTGGCTTTAGGTTTTGTTTTTTCTTTTTCTAGCTCGTTTAGTTGTAAAGTTAGGTTGTTTATTGAGATTTTTCTCACTTCTTGAGGTTGGTCTGTATTTTAGGGAGGATTTTAGGCCACATGCTCTAAACATCCTCCCTAAAATCACTTTTGCTGTGTCACAAAGGCTTTGAACTTTGCATTTTTGTTTTCATTTGTTTCCATGTATTTTTAATTTCTTCTTTTATTTCCAAGTTGACCCATTCATGTTTAGTAGCATGTTATTTCACCTCCAAGTGTTTGTGGTCTTTCTGTTTTTGTTTTTTTGTTTTTTGTTTTTTCTTGTGATTGACTTCCAGTTTCATAGTATTGTGGTGAGAAAAGATGCATGATATGACTTCCATGTTCTTGAATTTGTTGAGGCTTGTTTTGTGGCCTAATGTGTGATCTATTCTGGAGAATGTTTCATGTGCACTTGAAAAGAATGTGTATTCTGTTTTAGGATGGAATGTTCTTTTTTTTTAAGGTTTTATTTACCCATTTGAGAGAGAGAGAGAGTGAGCGAGCACTAGTGGGAACTGAGTGACGGAGGGAGAGGGAGAAGCAGGCTCCCTGTTGAGCAGAGAGGCTGACATGGGGCTCAAGTCCAGGATCCTAAGATCATGCCCTGAGCCACAGATAGATGCTTAGCTGACTAAGACACCCAGGTACCCCTAGGATGGAATGTTCTAAATGTATCTGTTAGATCTAGCTCATCTAATATATCATTCAAAGCTGTTGTTTCCTTGTTGATTTTGTTTAGATTATCTGTCCATTGATGTTAGTGGGGGTATTAAAGTCCCTCACTTTTAATGCATGATTATCAATTAGTTTCTTTATGTTTGTTATTAGTTAGTTTTTGTGTTTGGCTGTTCTTATATTAGGTGCATAAATATTTACAATTGTTAGGTCTTCTTGTTGGATTGTTCCCCTTATGATCATGTATAGTGCCCTTCTTTGCTACTTCAGCTTTTTTTGACATCTATTTGCATGGTAGATATTTCTCCACCCCCTTACTTACTTAAAATTCCAGGCTTTAGGTCCCACTGGTTGTAAGAGCTCATGAAATTTGGCCTCTCTTGCTTTTAGTGCCAAATGTTATGGGGATTTGTCTTCCCCTTGTGGGTTCCCTAGTGTGCAAGTCTGTTTTTTGCTTTTCTCTCCACCACTGGCTCCATCCCCACCACAGATGGCCACAGTCCATCTTGTTCCCCAACCATGTCTTTCCCCTTCCTGCCTTCTTTGATGTGGCTTCTTCTCAGCCTTTAGTTGTGGAGATTCTTCTGCTGTCTTCAGATTGTTTTCCTGGGTTGACTCACTGAAGTGAGTGTTATCTAGTTGTATACATGGGAAAAGGTGTGCTTAGAGTCTTTAGCGGGGAAGAGGGAACCTTTTTTTTTTAAGATTTTATTTATTTATTAATGAGAGACAGAGAGAGAGAGAGAGAGGAAGAGAGAGAGGCAGAGACACAGGCAGAGGGAAAAGCAGGCTCCATGCAGGGAGCCCGACACAAGACTCTGATCCGGGGTCTCCAGGATCACGCCCTGGACTGAAGGTGGCACCAAACTGCTAAGCCACTGGGGCTGCCCTGGGAGAGGGAATCTTAAGCAGACTTCTTGCTGAGAACAGAGCCTGACATGGGGTTTGACCTACAACACTGAGATAATGACCTGAGCTGAAACCAAGAGTTGGTTAACTGACTGTGCCACCCGGGTACCTCTCAGATTGCATACTTTCTGTTGATCTGTAGTCAAGTTCACTTATTCATTCCTCTGCCATCTGCATTTTGTTCTTTGGGCCATCCAGCCAATTTTTAATTTCATTTATTATATTTTTCAGTTGTAAATTTCCCTTTGGTTCTTCATTATAGTTTCCACTTTCTGAGACTGGCTACCTCCCATTTGTTTCAAGAATGTTTGCAGTTACTTGTTGGAAAATGGTTATAATTGTGGTCTTAAAGTTTTCATCAGATAATTCCAATATTCAAGTCATCTCAGAGCTGGCATCTGTTGGTTGTTTCTCCCCTTGAGCATTGGTCAGTCAGCATTCCTAATTCTGTGTATATCAAGCAATTTTGGATTGATATATCTTAGACATTTTAAATATTATGTTATGAGACCCTGAGTCTTATTTAAATCCTATGGAGAGAGACACCTGGGTGGCTTAGTGGTTGAGTGTCTGCCTTTGGCTCAGGTCATGCGCCTGGGGTCCTGGGATCAAGTCACACATCAGGCTCCCCACAGGAAGGCTGTTTCTTCCTATTCCTACATCTCTGCCTCTCTCTCTCTGAGTCTCTCATGAATAAATAGATATAATCTTTTAAAAAAATCCTATGGAGAATGTTGGCTTTTTTGTTTTATTAGATAATAACCTTACTTGGGGTCAAGCTGTAATTTCTAGTTTACCTTCTATGACTGTGTTTTTTTTTGTTTTGTTTTATTTATTTATGATAGGCACACAGTGAGAGAGAGAGAGGCAGAGACATAGGCAGAGGGAGAAGCAGGCTCCATACACTGGGAGCCCGACGTGGGATTCGATCCCAGGTCTCCAGGATCACACCCTGGGCCAAAGGCAGGCGCTAAACTGCTGCGCCACCCAGGGATCCCTATGACTGTGGTTTTAAGGCCTGTTCAGTTTTCTAAGATTTTGTAGTGATAGTCAGGTCTTTCCTGCATGTGCGGTACTCAGGGGCCAGTCTGAGACTTGTGTTGTGGTCTCTGTTCAGTTCTTAAAACCCCTGGTATGCTGCTTAAGGCCAGATCCACACACATGTATGGTTCAGGGATAAGCCCAAGTTTACCTATAAGTTTATGGAATCCCTTTCTTGATTTTCTCTCCTTTCTACCCTCTCCAGGTCCTAAAGAGTCCTCTTCCTGGTCTGCTGGCTTGAAAGGTGTACCTTTAGTGTTTCCACTCTGACATGCCCTTTCTGGGACTCAGTCTACCTCTGAGGACAGGTGGTGGGAAGATATGTACACTAAAAACAATATTGAGGGTTTGCCACATGGTTTTTGTATCATAATTCCTCTGCTCAAGTTATTTCCCTCTTCAGGTTTTTAGGTGCCTTCCCAGCTGCTGCCACTGCCATCAGATTGCAGCTTTGGAACTTGAACTTGCATGGGGGCAGGGCCAGGAGAGAAAAATAGCAGGAGATCCCTTCAAACCACTCTTTCTATCCTATGAGGATCCCTCCTTCCATTCCTTAGAGTAGAAAGAGAGGGCTTCTCTTAGAGCTCTGTCCACACCTGGTGCATGATTCTGGGATTCACGTTTCCTTTTGAGACCAGTTTATGACATATAGGAGGAAAATAAAACCCAGGAAACTCATAGCTACACTGTTTGTACTTTGAGTTTGGTTTCCATTTCCAATTTACACATTACCTTTTACTTTACAGAGGCCTCTGATGGCTGCTCTGGTTGCATTCACTGTTCATCTTTTATTATTATTTTTCTTTTTTATTATTGTTTTATAGATGTTCTTTTAATATTCTGTATATAAGTCCTCTGTAAGATGTATATGTATTGTACATGTTTTATGCCAGTCTAGGGTTTAACTTTATTTGATAAAATCCGTTTTATCAACTTTTGGCTGTTATAATTAGTGCTTTTTGTGTCCTGTCAAAGAAATCTTTTCCCATGTTAATGAAGATTCTCTCCTTCTTCTAGAAGATGTATAATTTTAGCCTTTATATTTAGGTCTATGATTCATTTAGAATTAATTGCATTTTCCTATCCATGAAAATTGTACATTTATCTGTTTAGATTTTCTCTAATTTCTCTCTGCAATATTTTGTTCTTTTCAGGTACAGGTCTTAACACATCTTTCAATGCATTTCTTTTTAAGCATTTTATGTTTTTTATGCTGTCAAAGGTGATATTTTAAAATTATTCATTGCTAGTAAATAGAAATACAATAGATTTGACCTTGATGATATTCCTTTTTATACACATAACCAAACAAATATATTTTGTTTATGTATCTTGTCATTCTAATATTTTATGCCTTTGTGCAACCACCTTTGCTAGTAGAATATTTTACCTTTAGATATTTTGTGACTTTTACTATGATTTCACATTTAGTTGAACTTTCTCTGTGGGGATTCTTTGAGGCTTAGGTTGAAAGTGGATGTCTCTAGAAGGTTTATTGATTACTCCTACCAGGTACCTGGGAGCATACCAACCCAGGATTATTTAAAAATAAATTTTCAGTTTCAGTATAAAATAAATAGTACACTTGGAGTGTGAATTCAGATCACAGACTTGCATAAGGGTTAACTTTTGATTATAAGATCTTAACATAAGGTTAAAACATGCAAGATAAACTGTTTTCTGTCTCTCCTTTCCATCTCACTCTCCATGCCCTGTTAAGCCCCAGGGCTCTGAGCTCTTCTTCACCTTGTTGTAGCTTTCTGCTTGGATACCTATTAATATGCCAAAGGTAAGCCCATGCCAACCCTCCAGATGGATGTCTGGGAGATATGGATTACCTTTTCTAAAAACCAGTTATCTCTACTTTTTTTTACACCTAGCCTTGGGCTTGGAAGTAAAAATTCAGATGTGCAAAATGCATGTGGCCTGTCTTTGTGGGACTCAGAGGAAGTATGGCTAATACTTATTAGGCCCCTGTCTTGTTCAACCACCATTTTGGTGCCTTCATATATGTCACTTAATCCTGGGGATGACCTTGCAGAACAGGCTCTCTCATTGATATTTTTGTGGATGAGGAAACCCAGGCCACAGGAGCTGCGGGTGGTGAACATGACACTAGGATTTGAGGTCCCTGTGAGAACCTTCCTTTAGAGGGGAGGCAGAGTGACTGCCACTGCAGCCTACTGATCTCCTGTCACCTCATTCTTTCCTAGAGGCTGTGCACCCCTGTGTACTGCAAGTACCAGTTCTTTAAGACTCCAGTTCACAGAACAGAGGGGCAGCCCCATGGCGTCCACATCCATTTCCAGGACATCAATGTCATCTTTCTGGGGGCGATGCAGCCCAGTGACCTGAGAGAATACCTGGAGGGCCCTCCCATGGTGGTGGAAGTGCATGACAGGGACCGCAAATTAGAGGAGTATTCCCGGAAGCCCACCCTGTTTGGAGATGACCCCCTGGACTCATACCTCAACCTCCAGGCCGTCATCTCTCCAGAAGAGACAGAGAGCAACCCCTTTGAATCCCACAATAAGAGATGGGACCCTTACGGGGTTGCCCAGGTCAGTTTTGCCGACCTTCTCCTCGGCCACAAGTACTTGAACTTGGTCGTTCCCATCCACAGCTGTGAGCCCAAACCCACACGGTGTGGACGGGATGGTAGGAGCAGGAAGGTTGTGGGATTCCGGGTGCCCACAGATGGCTTCCAGCACAAGCCACTGCCCATGGGCAACTACATCGAGGCCAACTCCCTGCTCAAGCTGCGGGTGGACATTGCTGTGCCCCTGCGCGCCAGAGCAGAAGCCCCGGACCCAGAGCTCACACGTAGCCAGTTTGGCCGTGTCATTTTCGTGTTTGACTCCAGGAAGATCTCCCTCCTCTCCAGCCTCCTGCGGGACATCACCATGATCAATGCCAAGGCCCTTGATCTGGAGTCCTACCCTGTCAGGAACATCCAGCAGATCCTGTCAGCCTTTAAGGTGCGGGTGAAGATCCAGGAGAGGCAGGACCTGGATGTGCTCACTGGCTTCCACCTGCTGGACGGGAAGATCCACCTTCTCATTCTGGAGGGTTTGGCTGACCAAGGCTTGAAGCAGCTATGGGACAGCCATCAGAGCCGGTGGGTGGATGGTTTGTCTGTGTTTCGTGTAAAAGTCATGGTGTCTGGATGCTGAGTCAATGGGGGGATCTTTTGAAGCCAGGCTCGGGTTTAGAGTCCTCATCTGCCAGAAGGCCCTGTTGACTCAGTTCCTCTTGGGATTTATTATAGAGCGCTTCACAGGGCTCCATTATTTGCCTTGATCCCAGGAGGAATTGCTTGCCCTTGGGTGAAGGGAAGACTTTAGGACCCCATGGAAGACAGGGTGGTTCAGGAAGGTGGGTGCTCCCTTCAGACTTCTGAGGCGCCTGCTTGGCTAATAGGGAGAAGAAAGCTCTGTATGGCCTGAAGATGGATACCACAGGGAAATAGATTTCCAGGCAGTCTAAGGAAGACCTGATTATTATGAGGCTGGAGAAGCTAGGCTGCAGAAAGTTCCTCTTCCCTGATGGCCTCCAGGAGCACCTGATAGAGGCAAAGTTCAGATTCTGGGCTGGAGCAGGTGGCCCCATATGGTCCTTCCATCCTTTAGTTTTGGCTTCATGACAGTTCTCTTTTCCTTTCATTATTTGCAGGTATCCTAGTTGGGGTTACAAGAACCTCTTTCCTTTATTTTTATTTTTTAGATTTTATTTATTTAAAAAAGAGAGCATGAGTGGTGGTGGTGGGGTGACAGGGTGGCAGAGGGAGAAGCAGACTTCCCGCTGAGAGGGAGCCCAAAATGGGGTCAATTCCAGGACCCTGAGATCGTGACCTGAGCCAAAGTCAGACACTCAGCCAACTGAGCCACCAGGTGCCCCAGGATCTCCCACTTTTAGTCTGGGAACTCCCCGTCTCTGTCTTCAGAGTTCATACCCCAGGACCAGATGCTGACAACAGCAGGTAGTCCTGAGGTTGAGTCCATCCATCCGTGAGAGGGGAGCAGCCCTGTGGGGACCTGTCTCGATGTGTTGGTAAGCCAAGTTGTGCTGTGGAGAAGCTGCATTTGTGTCTAGTTATCTGCCCAACAGAACTGAAAACGTGGGTCCACACAAAAACTTGTATGTGAATGTTCACAGCAGCATCATTTATTATAGTCAAAGAAGTGGAAACAACTTGAATGTCCACTAACCAATGAACAAAATGTGATACATCCACATAATAGAATAATAGCCATGAAAAAGGAATGAAGTACTGATACACACACTTCGCTATGGGTGAACCTTGAAAACCAACTGAGTAAAAGAAGACAGACATGAAAGGCCACGTGTTGTATGATTCCGTTTATGTGAAATGTCTAGAACAGTCAAATCCATAAAGATAGTAGATTAGTGGTTCCCAAGGTCTCAGGGGAGGGATGAAGGAGAAGTGGGAAGTGACTGTTACTGGATACAGATTCTTCTTGGTGTGATGAAAATTTTCTAGAATTGGTGTTTATGATTGCACAACATTGTTAATATATTAAAAACCACTGGATTGTGAAATTAATAAGGTGTGCAGTAAGGAATCTGGCCTTGCCCAGAAGGTCTGGCCTTTGCCTTTTGCTTCTGGGAAGTGATATCTGTCATAGCTATTAGGGGTGCCTTTGCTTAGGTTGGGGGATGACCACACCAGAACTTAGGTTAGGATGGGATCACCTCACCTGATAGTGACCACACACCCTATGTGTCTCTCCCTCTAGCCGATTTTAATCTGTATCCTTTCCCTGTAATAAGCTCTGAGTGTAAGTGTAACAGCTTTCAATGAATTATGTGAGTTCTTGTACCAAATCGATGAGCCTGAGGGTGGTATTAGAAACCTCTTGGACTTCAGTTGGTACCAGAAGTCAGGGCAGTTTGGGGGATTGTGACCTCAAATTTTGCAGTTTGGCTAAGTCAGATGGTATGATATGTGAATTATATCTCAATGAGTAGTTTTTTCCCCAGTAGAATAAATAATATATGTTCACTGACCCCAGTTCAGTTAATCTACAAGTAAAAAGTTGTGAACCAGAAAAAAAATTCATATGCTTAGAAATTAGCAAATACTTCCAAACAACCCATGGATCAAAAGAGAAATTGTAATAGAAATTAGACATTACTGAATTGAACAATAATGAAAATAGAATAATATGTAAATTTGTGGGACGATGTTAAAGTGTTATTAAGAAGAAACTTTATAGACTTAAATGCTTATATTAGAAAAAAATAAAGGCTGAAAATGATAGATGTTGCAGACATCAAAATAAATGTTTTAAACCAGGTCAATAAATTTAAATATGTATAAGAAATTCCAAAAGTAATATCAAAAATATTTTCAGATAAGATAGTTTAATCAGGTCTCTGGATACAAACATTAATGTAAAAATCTATTGAATTTCTGAATAACATCTACATACAAAAAATCATTTTTTTTTAATTTTTTTTTCATTTTTTTTATTTTAATTTATGATAGTCACAGAGACAGAGAGGCTGAGACACAGGCAGAGGGAGAAGCAGGCTCCATGCATCGGGAGCCCGACGTGGGATTCGATCCCGGGTCTCCAGGATCGCGCCCTGGGCCAAAGGCAGGCGCCAAACCGCTGTGCCACCCAGGGATCCCAAAAAATCATTTTTTAAGAAAAGCACTTTTAACGTATAAAATATGAATTTCACATTAATAAATTCAACAAACAGGAGTACAAGATCTCCATCATGAATATAATAGAACTTTTAGGATCGCCTGGGTGGCTCAGTTGGTTAAGTGCCTGCCTTTGGTCCAGGTCATGATGCCAGGTTCTGAGCCCTGATTGAGCCCCGAGTCAGGCTCCCTGCTCAGCAGGGAATCTGCCTCTTCCTCTACCTCTGCCCCTCCCTCTCACATGTGCTCTCTCAAATAAATGAATAAAATATTTTTTTTAAAAAAACTTTGACACATTAAAGAAAACCTAAATAAGTGAAGGAGGACCTATCATGTTCATGGATTGGAACACTCAATATTGTGGAGGTGTCAGTTATGTGCAAACTGGATATATAGATTCAAGGCAATCCCAATTTTAAAATACTAATACCAAAAAAAGAATACTAATACCAACTTTTAAAGAAGTATGGTACTTGAAAATCTGATTTAAAAATGCACATCATCATTCAAGATACACTCTTGAATAAGAAATGTAAGATGGAGCACTTGCTCTACTAGGTATCAAGGCTCATTATAAATCTATGGTGATTAAGACAGTTTATTGGTTCACAGATAAACAAACGGACATATGGAATATAATAGAAAATCCAAAGACAGACCTACATGTAAGCAGTCACACATGACTATGACATGTGACATTGCAAAATCAGTGGGAAATGAATATACTAAAGCCATTGAATTGTACACATTAAAAGGGTGCATTTACATAATATACCTCTTCATACCCACTAGTTTGGCTAGAATTAAGCATGTCAGATAATAGCAAGTGTTGACAAGGACGTGGAGAAATTAGAATTATCATTCACTGCTGGTAAGAAGTAGATGAATTAGATGGTAGAGTCACTTTAGTAAACAGTCTGGCAGTTCCTCAGATGACTGAAGAGTTACTATTTGACCTAAGAGTCCTACTCCTAGGTAAATGCCCAAGATAAATGAGAACATATGTCCACACTAAAAACTGTATAACTATTTAGAACAGTATTATAAGACCCATGAGGTATAAACAGTCCAAATGTCCATTAATTGACTAATAGCTAAACAAATGTGATATGTAAATACAATAACGAACTGTTCCTTGGACATGACAAGGAATGAAACACTGACTCATGCTACAACATGGATGAACCTTGAAAATACTCAGCGAAGTCAAAGAAGCCAGTCACAAAGACCGCATTATTCTATGAGTCATTTATATGAAATGTTCAAAATAGGCAAATCTATAGAGACAGATTAGCCAATATTTAGGGCTGTGGGCCAGGGGTGAGAGTATGGGGTGAGAGGGAGTGGGTACAAGCTTCTTTTTTAGGTGATGAGGAAGCTCAAAAATGGATTGTGATGATGATTGCACATATCTGTCACTAGACTAAAAATGATTGAATTATACATATTAAATGTATGAATTGTATGGTGTCTGAATTAAATCTTAGTTGAAAAATACCTCTAGTGGATAAAAAAAAAATCAGTGAGGAAAGGAGAACCTTTACCAAAAAATGGTGTTGGGATAATTGTTTATCCATAAGAAAAGGGAAAATAATTTCCTGTTCAAATCATTCACAAAAATCAATTCCACCTGGATTAAAGATCTATGTACATTTTCAACTTTTTCTTTTGGAATAATTATAGATTCACAGGAAGTTTAAAGAATATTGCAGAGATCCCACATACTCTTTCCCTCACAGTGGTTACATCTTAACTATAGTACGATATCTAAACCAGGACACCAACACCAGTACAATGTGTGTGTTCTCTGTGCCAGTTTATCACATGCAAATTTGTGTGACCACTAGTATGATGAAGATCTTGAACTGGTGTGCCACGACAGAGATCACTGTGTTTATAGTCACTGCCACCCTCTTTATCCTGTTTTCCATCTCCTTAATTTTTCATCTGTATGTAACCTTACATATTAATGGAATCATACAGTATATGACTTTAGAAGATTGTTTTTCTTCCTACTCAGCATAAAGTGCTAGAGATCCATCCATATTTTTGCATGAATCAATGGTTTATTCCTCTTTGTTGCTGGATAGTATTTCATGGAATGCATGTGCCACAGTTTCACCATCCATCTGTTGAGGGGCATTTTGGTTATTTCCAGTTCTTGATATTACAAATGAAGCTGATGTGAACAACAATGTACAGGTTTTTGTGTGAACATGTTTTCTTTTCTTTTTAATTGACTTACAATATGATATCAGTTCCAGATGTACAGGACAGTGGTTTGATATTTTTCTACATTGCAAAATGATCACTATGGTAGATCCAGTTACCATCTGTCACCATACAAAGTTATTATAATAACACTCTATTCCCTAGGTTGCACATCATATCCTCGTGACTTATTTATAACTAGAAATTTGTACCTCTTAATCCCCATCACCTGTTTCACTCATTCCTACCCCAGTCCCAACCCCAGCAGCTACCACTTTGATCTCTGTACCTATGGAATGTTTTGTTTTGTTTGCTCATTTGTTCTGGTTTTTAGATTTCACATATAAGTGAAATAATACAGTATTTGTCTGTCTTTCTCTGACTTATTTCACTGAGCATAATACTTTTTAGGTTCATTCATGTTACTGCAATGGCAAGATCTTATTCTTTTATACGGCTGAGTAATACTCCATTACACACACACACCACATCTTTATCCATTCACCTATTAATGGACACTTAGAATGCTTCTGTATCCTGGCTCTTGCAAATAATGCTGCAGTGAACATAGTGGTGCATATACTTTTTTGAATTAGTGTTTTCATTTTCTTTTGGCTTAATACCCAGGAGTGGAATTGCTGGATGATATTTTAAAAATTTGAGAAATCTCCATACTGTTTTCCACAGTGGCTGTACCAGTTTGCATTCCCACCAACAGTCCACGAGGGTTCCCCTCTCTCCACATCCTCCATCACCAACAGTTGTTATTTCTTGTGTTTCTGATAATAGTCATCTGACAGATGTGAGGTGGTATCCCATTATGATTGTGATTTGCATTTCCCTGATGATCAGGAATGTTGAGATCTTTTCATTAAATCTACATTGTCTTCTATTCACCTTCTCTGCCCATTTTTTATTTGGGCTTATTTTGTTGATATTAGGTCATATGAGTTCTTTATATACTTTGGATATTGATCCCTTATTGGATATGTTTTTTGCAAGTAGCTTCTCCCATTCAATGGATTACCTTTTCTTTTTGTTGGTTTAATTCACAGTGCAAAATCTTTTTGGTTTGATATAGTTCCATGAGTTCCATTTGTTTGTTTTTTTGCTTGTTGCCATAGCCCGAGGAGACAAAAAAAAAAAATACTTAGACCAATGTCAAAGAGCTTATTGCCTACATTTTCTTCTGGGAGTTTTATGGTTTTATTTTTATTTTTTAGTTTTATGGTTTTATTTAGGCCTTTAATCCACTTGAGTTGGTGTGTTGTGTAAGAATGTGATCCAGTTTTGTTCTTTTGTAGGTAGCTGTCCAGTTTTCCAACATCATTTGTTGAAGCGACTGTATTCGCTTCATCGCCCCATTGAATATTCTTGCCTCCTTTGTTGTGCAGTAATTGACATGTAATCCTAGGTTTACTTCTGGGCTCTTCATTGTGTTCCATTGATCTGTGTCTATTTTTGTGCCAGTACCATACTTTTTTGATGACTACAGCTTTGTAGTATAACTTGAAGCCTGGAGTTGTGATACCTCCAGTTTTGTTTTTCCGTTTCAAGATTGCTTTGGCTATTCAGGGTCCACACACATTTTAGGATCATTTGTTCTAGCTATGTGGAAAATGCTATTGGAATTTTGATAGGGATTGCATTAAATATGTGGATTGCTCTGGGTAGCATAGACATTTTAACAATATTTGTTCTTCTAATTCATGAGTATGGAATGTCTTTCCATTTCCTTGTGTCATCTTCAGTTTCTTCCTTTCCAATCTGTATTTCCTTTGTGTGATAGTGAGGACTTGTGGTACTATTATACATGTAAAGAGTGGTGACATCCTTGCCTTGTTTCTGATCTTTAGTGGAAGACATTCAAATATGATGTTAGGTGTGGGTTTTTTTGTAGATGTCTTTTATCACTTGGAGGAAGTTCCACTCTGTTCCTGATTCACTGAGACTTCCCTAATTCGCTGTTTCACACAATTCACAAAAATCAATTCCAGGTGGATTAAAACCCATCTGGAATACTTACAGATCACAATAAGTTGCAAAAATAATATAGAGTGGTTCCGTGCACCCAATACCTAATTTCCTCCAACAGTGACGTCTGACATAAATAGAATGCCTTATTGATGGACAGACACAGTGCGGTCAACTGGACCACAGTTACCTGGTCTTTTTCAGAGTTCACCAGAAAAGAAAAATCCGTTTTTAAAATGCAAAATTATAAAGCTTTTCTATTATTAGGATAAAGATTTCTTGAACAAGACAGAAGTACACAGGACAAAGGAAAGAAATGCTGCATCCGGCTACGTTAGAGTGAATAACTTGTTTATCCAAAGATCCCATAAAAATTGTGAAAAGACAAATTGAGAAATTTTTTGCAGTGTGTGAAGCTAGTCTCCCGAATATGTAAAAACACCCCTGAATCAATAAGAAAATAAAGCCAAGGGAAGAGTGGGCAGAGGGCTTGAACAGGTACTTCACAGAAGAGGAAACCTTGTGACCAAACACAGATTCACCAAGGGCACAAGCTGACTTTCCTCAGGTTGCACAGGGTGTAGGAGCAACGTGTGCACCACGGGGGAGTGTGTTTAGACCCTCTGCCTGGATGTGAGTGCCAGGGAGTCAAGTGTGAGCAGGGACGGGGGATGGGGGCAGGGGCTAGGGGCAGGACAAGAGGAAACTGAGGCAGGTTTCAGCATTTTCACTGCCACAGTTTGGAAAGATAGACGTTCTATTTTTTTTTCAGATGATTTATTATTAATGCATTCCTTTTGTGTGTTTTTAAACAAGTAAAAAGATGAAAAGAAAAAAGTTCTGCCAAAAGGGCAAGACTGCACAGCGTTCCAGGAGGCCGCGGGGCAGAGCTGAAGCCCCGCCCCGCCCCGCGGCCTCCTCGCAGGGCCCCCGGAGCCGGAGCCGGAGCCGGAGCCGGACTGGGCAAATACAAAGCGCTCTACAACTCGGCGCTGCTGTTCCGCCAGCGCCTCTACGCGGACCTGGAGACCGTCCTGTACCAGGTGCACCTCTTCAGGCCCCTGTCACAGCTCGTGAAGCACTCGGCGCTGTACATCCGCCACACCGTTTCCCAGAAGGCCTTCCAGGCCCTGAGCAGGTGCGCCAGGCGGCCTCGGGGGTAGGGCTGCCTCCCTGGGGGCACCCTCCAGGTGCAGTTTCTATTCACATTTTTTAAGGTTTTATTTATTGGAAGGAGAGCGAGAGCACAAGCAGGGAGGAGGGGCAGAGGGAGAGGGAGAAGCCGACTCCCCGCTGAGCAGGGAGCCCCACGTGGGACTCGATCCTGGGACCCTGAGATCATGACCTGAGCCCAAGGCAGACACTTAACCCACTGAGCCATCCAGGTACCCCAGTTTTTGTTATTCTTATACCCAAAGGAGCCAGGCCCGGAGTGGAGTACAGTTCCAAGGGGCCCAGAACCTGTGTCATTCCCAGGGACTGGTGCACATGCTCTCCCAAGGGGGTTTTGGAAACAAGGGAACACAGGTCACACAAAGCTATCTGCTGTTCTTGAGGAATAGCCTAGAATAGCCTGAGCAGTGAGTAATGAGGACCAGAAGCAGATCCACCGGAACTGCAAGTTTTCTCTACCTGAATGCTTGCCTTTGTTTGCTTCTTCCCTCACCTCCTCTCCAGAAAGTCATCCTCCAAGATCTCAGTCTTACACTACGTGCGTGCCTTTACCTGTGCTGTTCCCTCTGCTCCAGCGCTGGTGACCCTGGGGAACCGTGTGCTTCTCCCGCTGGACTGAGCGTGGCTCGTGCCCTGGGAGGGCCTACTCCTTTCACGTGGGGAGCAGGAGGGCCAGGCGAGACACACCCAGTTTGGCAGTGGAGACTGACTGAGCGTGGTGCAGTGGGGTCCCTGGGACCGTGCATGGCCAGCCGCACTGGGCTTTGTGGGACAGCGAAGGGCAGTGGCCGGTTCTTTCAGGAAGTCAGCAGGGCCTGACCTAGCGCATCCGTGGCAGGCCTTCCTCGGGTGGACAGTCTCCTCACTCTAGTCTGGGGCAGGAGGTGCACACCATCTCTTTACACTTTAAAGTCAGTAACAGCCCTGGCTGAGAGTTGGCTCCCAGCTTATCAAATGTGTTAATAAAGGAGAGGGTGGAAGCAGGAGGAGAGAAAAGGAGAGAGCCCAGGGACATGGAGGAAAGGGACTTAGTCCTATTATCCCCCACCTGGTCACCTCAGGCACAAGCGGGCTACGGCTGGGCACCCCACGACAGCAGGCTGAAGCTGCAAGCCAGGAGGGGTGGGCTGTCCAGTGGGCCTCAGCAGGCTCATGCTGGGGAGGTGCTGGAGCATCTGGGTGTCTAGAGCTTTGGCTGTCAGTGAGGGGAGGCTGGGCCTTGCTCTGCCCTGCTAGGAGATGGCTGGGGGTCGGGGGTGTTAGGGAAGGGCAATAAAACTGCTAGTAAGTGCTTGCTGCATCCCACGTAGCTGCGTTCATCATGGCTTTATTCCAATCTGAAAAGTCCAGGGGCAGGCCAGGGGCCTCAGCTGGTAAGAGGCAGAGACCGTGTCTCCTGGCTGGACCTCAGAAGTATCAGAGACAGTGAGCAGCAGCAAGTGACAGGCCCTGGCATGAGGCTACAGAGTGTCAGCGTGAACCAGTGCCCACAGTACACCAGGCCCCCGGGAGAGGAGAGCAGGGAGGACTCTCAGGGCAGGGCCTGGGAGGGTGGTTGCTCAGTCCTTGAGCTTTGCTGAGATCTGAGGCTGTGTGTGTGGTGTCCTCTGTGTGGTAGGAGCTCTGAGATCCACACTCCTGGTGGCTGGCTGGTTGGGGCTGCTCCCAGGTGGGATGTGGGGAGGTGACAGGCATGGAATAAGACCACAGTAGCAGAAAAGTAATCAGAGTGGATTGTGGGAAGTCCTTACCTTCCGGGGGCTGGAGGGGAGCGAAAAGGAAGCATTCTCTTTTGTGGGCTGGTTCAGGTGCACTCTCAGCTTGGCATACGAGTTCTGTGATCTGGGACCAGCTAAACAACTTCTGAGCTTCATTTTCTCTTGTAAAACGGGGCTGGTTTATGTATCTTGAGAGATAGGTAAGGCCATGCGGGTGGCCCTCTGCCTTGCAGGATCTACTGCATCTGCCATCACAGCACCAAGCTCAGAGAGGTGATCACGAGAGACCTGCTGCCATCCTCCGCCATGGTCAAAGACTTGAGCCAAGAGTTGGGGCTGCCCATTTCTCAAGAAGATCTCACAGAAGGAAAACTGTTGGCCTTGCCATCTCAGCACACCCTCAGTCTTGAGCACTTCCTAAGTCAGAAATCCACCCTTGCTTACGAGATCCAGGCCCACCAGGAGAAGTATCTGCAGTGGCGGAACACCATGGTGCTAAAGAACAAGGGCCAGGAGTCCAGCCTGGTCCAGGTGGGCACTCTCTCCTCCCCGAATCAGGGGCCCCAGGCCTTCGCCTCAAGTGGGGCTGTCCAGTCACTGGTGGGGAGATACAGGGTAGATGACCAGTTCTGTATCTGCTCTCCCGGGATCCTGGGCAGGGTGGGCAAGGAGTACTGGCTGTGGGACTGAACCAGGTCAGAGGCGTGCATTCCAGCCCTCAGGTCCCTATCCTTCCTGAAAGTGACTAGGAATGCTTTTATGTGGCCCAAATGGCCAAGGAGAACCTCCCTCACTCCACGCCAACCAAAAAGGTGTGACTTGAGGCTGTCCACTTAGGGTCTCTGTGAAGCACCCCCACCCCAACCTCTAGTAAAAAGAAAGTCTCTTAGAAGTTTATAAGCTTTGAAGGTGTATATTGTTGGCTTTTTAAAAGCTTTTGTTTATTTATTTGAGACAGAGAGAGTGAGCACACAAGCAGGCAGGAGTCGGAAGGAGAGGGAGAAGCAGGGAGCCTGATGCAGGGCTCGACCCCAGGACCCTAGGGTCATGACCTGAGCCTAAGGCAGAAGCTTAACTGACTGAGCATCCTTACCTTTTTAGCTTCTTGAGTTGACTACTTCATTCATTTTTATTCTTTCTTATTTAATAAGAAAGGCTACACATTTTTCTCTGTATACATCCTTGGCCAAATTTAGTGAAGTGTTATATGTATTGTGTGTTCCGATTGTTATTTGCCTTAGATTCCATACAAATTATAAAACAAGACTGAGGTATAAGCCTATAAAAAAGTCGAACAACTGAGAGTATAAAGTACAGTGTCAAATAGGAGTGGTAAGAGCAGACATGCTTGTTTTCTTTCTGATCTTGAGGGGAAAGCAACCTTTGGCCATGAAGTTGGATAGTAACTGCAGGTTTGGGGTACACTTTTTCAGTTGAGGAAGATTTCTTGTAGTCTTAGTTTGTTGTGAGTTTTTATCATGAATTAATGTTGGATTTTGTCAGATGCTTTTTTTCCCTGTATATATTGTGGTTCTCTCTTTATTTATACAGTGGATTACGTTACTTGATATTTGGATGTTAATACGATTTTGCATTCCTGGGATATTTCTCACTTGGTAATGGCACATGATCTTTTATCTATGTGTTTCTGAATTTAGTTTGCTAATATTTTGTATTTTTCTTGTGATAGCTCTGTCCAACACTGGTACCTGTGTAATATTGGTCCTGTAATGAGTTGGTGTTTCCTCTCCTATTTTCTGGAAATAACGTGACATGTTGGTATTCATTCTCTCAGTATTTTGGTAGAACCTACCAGTGAAGCCATCTAAGCCTGAGCTTTTCTTGGGCAAATTTTAAATGACTAGTTTTATCTCTTTACTTGTTATAAGTCTATATTCAGATTGTCTCTTTCTTAAAACAGGTTTGATAATTTGTGTCTTTCCAGGAATTTGTCCATGTCATGTAAATCACCTAGTTTGTTCACATACAGTTGTTCATGGGATTCTCTTATAATCCTTTTAATTTCTGTAAAGTCAGTAGAATGTCGCCTCTTTCATTCCTGATTTTACTAATTTGTATCTTTTCTCTTTCTTTCTTGAGCAGTCTAGCTAAAGATTTGCCAATGTTGGTGGTCTTTTTGAAGAACTACTTTTGGAGTTTGTTCATTTTCTCTATTTTTCTATTTCATGTTTTTCTATCCTAAACTGTATTACAATTTCTTCTTTCTGCTTATTTGGATTCAATTTGCAACTCTAGTTTGCTAAAGAGTAAAGTTAAGTTTCTTAACTTTTTATATACATGTATTTACAGCTACAAATTTCCGCCTAAACACTACTTTAGTTGCATCCCATAAACTTGGTATGTTGTATTTTTATTTTCATTCATCACAAAATATTTTATAATTTCCATTGTAGTTTTTAGAAATTTAGAATTTAATTTTGTTGTGACTGGAGAACATACTTTGTATGGTTTCTATCCTATGAAATTTATTACAATTTCTCTTATGGCCTAGATCCATCTTTAGGCTTGAAATGAATATATATTCTCCTGACACTGGGAGGAATGTTATATAAATGACAGGAGCTGGTAATAGTGTTTTTCAGGTCTCCTGTGTTATTGATTTTCCTTCTAGTTGTTCTATCAGTTGTTGGGATTGAGGTATTAAAGTCTCTATTCATGGTTGAATCATCTGTTTCTCCTTTCAATTCTGTTGATTTTTGCTTATTGTATTTTGGGGCTCTGTTGTTAGATATGTTTGTGTTTATAACTATATCTTCCTGGTGAACTGCCATTTTAATCACTATAAAACATCCCTTTTTGTTCCTAATAACATTTCTTGTCTCAAAAACCACTTTGTATTATGTTAATTTACTCACACCGGCTCTCTTCCGGTTTGCATACTACATATTTTTTCCACCCCTTTGACTTTCTTTTTTTTTTTTTTAAGATTTTATTTATTTATTAGAGATACAGAGAGAGAGAAACAGGCAGGGGGAGAAGCAGGCTCCATGCAGGGAGCCCGACATGGGACTCCATCCCGGGTCTCCAGGATCACGCCCCGGGCTGAAGGTGGCGCTAAACCTCTGAGCCACCTGGGCTGCCCTCCACCCCCTTTGACTTTCAAACTATTTATGCCTTTGCATCCAATATGCGTCTACTTTAAACAACAAGTGGCTGGATCTTTTTTTCAAAAAAATCCAGTCTGACAATCTTTGTTTGATTGTCCATTTATGCATAATATAATTATTGATGTTTTAATTTATGTCTTTTGTTTAATGTATTAAGTATTGATTTTGATCTTCTGTTGTTTCTTTACTGCCTCCTTTTTGTGTTGAGCAGATATTTTTAGTGCATCATTTTAATTCCCTCATTGATTGTTTTCCTTAAAGTTATTTCTTAGGGGGCAGACCGGGTGACTCAGTGGTTTGGCGCACCCTTCAGTCCAGGGTGTGATCCTGGAGTCCTGCGTCTGGCTCCCTGCGTGGAGCCTGCTTCTCCCTCTGCCTGTGTCTCTGCCTCTCTCTCTGTGTGTCTTTCATGAATAAATAAATAAATAAAATCTTTAAAAAAAAGTTATTTCTTAGGGGTTTCTCTAGGATTCTTCTATAATATGCATCTTCACAATCTACTACAGCTTATTACTAGCTTTATTAGAATAAAATGTAGAAACTGTTCTATAATATAATTCCATTTCCTCCCTTCCTTTATACTGTTATTGTTATGTTACATATATATGTATATATATAATATGTTATATAGACATATAACAATCTCCAGATATAGTGTTATTGTTTTATGCAATCATGTCTTTTAAAAGTTGAGAGAAGGAAAATGCATTTATGTATTTTATATTTATCATATATTTATCTTTTCCAGTGATTTTGTTAATGTAGTTCTTAGTTATCATCTGGTGTCATTTATTCTCAGCTTTAAAAGACCTCCTTTAGTATATCCAAGAAAGCAGGTACTACCAACAAATTCTACCTTTATCAGAGAATATTTTTATTTCACTAGAATTTTTGAAAATGACTTTTGTTAGACATAGAATACTTGGTATTTACTGAAAATTTTTTTCGGCACTTTGAAAATATTATTACACTGTGTCTCTATTCTTTCTGATGGACATTAAGCCATTAATCATATTGTTTTCTTGTACATGATGAGTCATTTTTTTCTTGCTGTTTCCAAGATTTTCTCATTGTCTTTCTTTTAGCTGTTGGACTCTAATATGTACAGGTGTGGATTTCTCTATATTTACCCTCCGTGGGGTTCATTGAGCTTCCCTAGATCAGTAGATTAATATTGCAGGTCTTAATTTCTTCTTTTTTCTGTTCTTCCTCTCTCCCCATCCCCTTTGTCAGACTCCCATTATGTCCATGTTGGTTCACTTAACAATGTCCCACAGATCTTGAGGCACTATTAATATAAAAGATTCTTTTATTTTTTTAATTTTTATTTATTTATGATAGGCACACAGTGAGAGAGAGAGAGGCAGAGACACAGGCAGAGGGAGAAGCAGGCTCCATGCACCGGAAGCCCGATATGGGATTCGATCCCGGGTCTCCAGGATCGCGCCCTGGGCCAAAGGTAGGCGCTAACGCTGTGCCACCCAGGGATCCTAAAAGATTCTTTTATTTCTATTCCTCAGACTGGATAATCTCTATCTTTAGGGTTCATATTCCTTTGTCACCTTATACCTGTTGTTTCCCTCTAATGAGTTTTTCATTTCAGTTACTGTACTTTACAACTGCAGAGTCTTCATTTAGCTTTTTTTTTGAAAATATCTTTATTAGATGATCTATTTCTTGACTCGTATACTTTCTTTAAATTTTTAAAATAATTTTTAAAAATAATTTTCTTTAGTTTGTTAAATAACAGCTGCATTGAGGTCAACCAGCTGAACCCACTGGACAGTTTGTATTGACTGCTTTATTTTATTTTCCTGAATAATGTTTATGCTTTACTATTTCTTTGCATGTCTCCTAATTTTTGATTGGAAACTGGACATCTAAAATGCATTGCAGCAACTCTGGATTCTGCTTTTTATCCCTAAGGGTGGTGGTATCTGTCATTTAATAACTTGCTTGCACAAAATCTGTGGACTGTCTCCTCAGTGGTCTGTAGCAAGCTGCAGATAGCAGAAAGCTTGCAGATAGCAATCTTTGCTGATTTTGTTTTTGTTTTTTAGAGAGAGTGTGTGTGCACCCGAGTGTCGGGGGAGGGGCAGAAAGAGACTCTTAAGTAGGCTCCATGCCATGGATCTCACAACTCTGAGTTCATGACCTGAACTGAAATCGAGTCCACCCCTTAAGTGACTGAGCCACCTAGGTGCCCCTCTTTGTTTTTAAATTGTTTTTATTTTAAGCCTGTCTTCCTTGAGGTCACCACTGTGTCTGCATCAATCAGTCATCAGCCAACAAATGGTCAGAAGTTGCACACCTCTAGGCCGCCAGGTTTTCAATCTTTATCAATGGATCTGTGTGTGGGTAGGGGCATGCATTCAGTTTCTCTGGCTTTGACTTTTCACTGGG